CTATAGCCCCTAATGTTAACTGCCCAGTCATGGGACGAGACATAATAGGGTCTGTGAGATAAGGGTCAAGAATCAATACCCATTAGCACATGACTGTATTTACACAAATCCTACAATTATTTTTCCTTGTATATGTCAAGATTTAAGGGTATTTGATATTTGGAATCCTGCCTTTGTGTGCAAAATTCAGGCAAGCTCTGCTAAGTCTTCTTTACGGGTTACCACAAATCTGGTTAGAGCTTCATTACCAATTTGGCTATTTACATTACAGAGGATTAACTAGGGATTTATCTGTAACCCTGATGAAAGTGTAGCTATTAATGAGCAACTGTGAATTTAAATTCATTTAAAATGCAATGACTAAGTGCTGAGGAAGTGCTCACTTTCATGTGATATATTTTTGATGATTGCTATATTCAGACAATTAGCTTTAGGAATGATTTTAGAAATAGAGTACCTGGATACAACAGTAGCAATGAATCCCTTGGTATTTTACCCTCCCTATACAGTAGCACATGGGCCAGGATGGTTATGGCATTTGTTGCAGTTCTATAAATTTACAGGGAAGAATTCTTCCCCAGAAACTACAGTGTATAAACCAGTTGCTTGGGCTACATTCTGGGTAAAGGATTGAGATAAAAGGGGAGAATTCTCTAGGCCAGTTGTAAACTGCACTTTTTATTGTATAACTCTCCACTGTGTATCTTCTTTTCATGCTGCACTGGGCATTTCTCTCACAAAATGGAAATCATGCACAGCAGCATTTCAGCTATTCATTGGAAACATTATGCTCCTATACACAAGCAGTAAGGCTGTTCTGACACACTGTAATTACAGTGTATTGGAGCAGACTTGATTAACGGAGTCGATTTAATCAAGTCTGCTGGAGTGTGGTAATTACCACGCTCCAGCAGCGTCAAGTGTCTTACGTATCAGTGTCCCCGCACTTCAAAATGAAATGGCAGCAGGGGCACTTTAGATAAAAGCTCGTTGAATGAGTTTAAATGAAGTGTTCCTGCTGCCATTTTGAAACATGGGGATGCTGATACAGGAGATATTCTGGACACTTTTAATTAGAGCAGCTCTCAGAGCCACTGTAATTAAAACACTCACCCCGAGCACATGTATAAACGCCCATTTGTAGCAAATATTGTTAAGCTACTGTTTTTTCTTCCCCTGCCCTCTTGTGTTCTCATTACATTATATAGTGTACTTTTGATTTAACTATGGCTTTTGTCACTATGGTTCAGAATAATAACTAAGATACTGCATGTTTCACTGCTGTATATAAATATAAGCTAATTTGTGGCCAAGATTCATATTTCTAGCACACTCTTGCACCTGCCTCCTGCCTCAGCAGAATGCTAATGCAGCAAGTAGTTCCACAGTGCAAGAATCCTTGTGCATCACAGAGGACATAGGCAGAAGTGACAATTTTTACCCAGTCTGGCCACAGAAAAAGAGGTCTGTAGCTGTGACCAAACACAAGCGCATGGCAGCACACAGCTTCAAAAAAGGCCAGTTGGGCAAAAATCTGAACCCTCGTTGCATGAGGGGTCAGATGAAGATGTTTCAAAACAGAGCATCTTCTATAGCTTGTTTCTGCACTACATCCCAGCCTCAAGCTGTTTTTTCAGAATAGGAGCGGGGACAGGGAGCAGAGGGAGTTCAGTCTGGGGTTTTTTCAGCCACACTGGAGGGGTGGGTAGGTGAACTGGAGCCTGCCCCCAGGTGGGTGAATTGGAGTTCACCAAGTCCCCCCTCTAGTGCTGGCTTGGGAACCCCTTGAATGAACTCTTTCTGGTCCTTGTCCCCCTCCCCATTCTGAAATCAGCACACGCTCATATGGAAGGGGGGCCGGTGCTTGGGGAAACCAGCTGCAGGCTCACAGCCAGCAGCCAGAACCCCCACCCCACTGGAACCAACAGTGAACTTGTTTGATCTGGGGGCTCATTGTAACTCAGAATGCTTTTTGCAAAGCATTCTCAGTTGTAGTGGGGAGCTGCACTTCTGTCTGCACCCAGAAGGTGAGGGAGTGCAGGTCACTTACAGAAGAGGTGGGAGGGGTCAAAGGATCCACTGGTACACTGATCCATTGTTTAATGATCAGTGGATGCTATTTCACCCATTAGAATTCCAACTCAATTCCATTAATGCATATTGGCATTTTTATTATGCTTCCTTGCAGATGGCAAAGCTCCGTAGCCTTTCCATGAATAGTGAAAATGAACCTTTTCGTCCACTTGTGGATAACTGGCGCCCTCCTCAGCCTCGGTATTATAGGATGGTGAGCTCCTCATTCCTGTGAAATCTTTGCTGAAGTGAAGTGTCTTCAAGGGATGAAATTTCTATATCCCAAAGCCTAGTAAGCTTTATGTCCTCTTCAACTCTTACACACATCTTCATCCAGAGGTCCTGAGACTGAATCTCAGCATAACAAAATTTGATGGATCACTGAATCTAATTGTAGAAGGGCAAAGTTTACTCAAGGCAAATCCTCAAAATAAAATGGAAATATGGAGTCTGCTTGGTTCTTAAGTGCTTTAGCTTTTACATTTGCTTGTTTGTGAAGATTTCTTAAAAAGAAAAAAAAGTAGTTATTAATGACTGGAAAAGACAATTTCCAATTACCATCATATTCCTTAGTATTTGCCTTTTTCAACACCAAAGAGTCTTTCAGAAGAAGTGCAAGTTACTTTCAACTTTTAAATGGTCAATACAGATTAAACTCTCATTTGTATCTGTGTAATTTATAAGCAGTCAGCATGGGAGAGGCAATATCTTTTATTAGACTAACTAGTCTATTGTTAAAAAAAAAAAAAAAAAAAA